CCTCCTCCTACTCATCCGCCTCCTTCTCCTCCTCGCCCCCTCTCTCTCACGCGCCCCCTCGCTCACTTGCCCCCTCTCTCCAGCCTGCTGCAGTCCCTTGGCGGGTGCCGCCCCCCTGACCCACCTGACAGATTTGCCCGACTCTAGCTCGACACTACTTCGACTCAAGTTCAAGTCAGAATCGACTCAGGTTCGACTCCAGTTCGACTCAGCTTCGACTCAGGGTCGACTCAGGTTCGACTCAGGTTCGGCTCAAGTTCGATTCAGGTTCGACTCAAGTTCGACTTGAGTACGACTCGAGTTCGACTCAAACTCGACTCAAGTTCGACTCCAGTTCGACTCAAATTCGACTCAGGTTCGAGTCAAGTTCGGTTCAGGTTCGACTCGAATTCGACTCCAGTTCGACTCAAATTCTGCCTCAAGTTCGACTCAGGTTCGATTCAGGCTCGACTCAAAGTCGACTCAGGTTCGACTCAAGTTCGACTCAAGTTCGACTCAGTTTCGACTCAAGTTTGACTCAAGTTCGACTCAGAATCGACTCAAGTTCGAGTCAGGTTCAATTCAAGTTCGACTCAGGTTCGACTCAAGTACGACTCAGCTTCGACTCAAGTGCGACGCGAGTACGCTCGAGTTCGACTCAAGTTCGACTCAAGGCCGACCCCAGTTCGACTCGGGTTCGAGTCAAGTTCGATCCGTGTTCAACTCCAGTTCGACTCAGGTTCACTCAGGTTCGACTCAAGTTCGACTCGGGTTCGGCTCGGGTTCGACTCAAGTTCGAGTTCGACTCAGGTTCGACTCAAGTTCGGTTCAGGTTCGACTCAAGTTCGACTCAAGAACGACTCGAGTACGACTCGAGTACGACTCGAGTTCGGCTCAAGTTCGATTCAGGTTCGACTTAAGTTCGATTCAAGTTCGACTCAGGTTCGACTCAAGTTCGACTCAAGTTCGACTCGAGTTCGACCCCAGTTCGACTCAAGTTCGACTCAAGTTCGATTCAGTTTTGCCTCCAGCTCGAGTCAGGTTCGACTCAAATTTGACTCAAGTTCGACTCCAGTTCGACTCAAATTCGACTCAGGTTCGAGCTAAGTTCGAGTCAGGTTCGACTCTTATTCGACTCCGGTTCGACTCAAGGTCGACTCAAGTTTGACTCAAGTTTGACTCAGGTTGGACTCAGGTTCGACTCAGGTTCGACTCAAGTTCGACTCAATTTCGACTCAAATTCGAATCAGGTCCGAGTCAAGTTCGAGTCAGGGGCGACTCGAATTCGACTCTGAATCGACTCAAGTTCGACTCAAGTTCGATTCAGGTTCGACTCAGGTTCGACTAAAATGCGATTCAAATTCGACTCACGTTCGAGTCAAGTTCGAGTCAGGTTCGACTCGAATTCGACTCAAAGTCGACTCAGGTTCGACTCATGTTCGACTCAAGTTCGATTCAGGGTTGACTCCAGTCCGACTCAGATTCAACTCAGGTTCGACGCAGGTTCGACGCAGGTTCGACTCAAGTTTAACTCAGGTTCGACCCCAGTTCGACTTAAATTCGACTCAGGTTCGACTCAGGTTCGGCTCAAGTTCGATTCAGGTTCGACTCAAGTTCGACTTGAGTACGACTCGAGTTCGACTCAAACCCGACTCAAGTTCGACTCCACTTCGACTCAAATTCGACTCAGGTTCGAGTCAAGTTCGGTTCAGGTTCGACTCGAATTCGACTCCGGTTCGACTCAAATTCTGCCTCAAGTTTGACTCAGGTTCGATTCAGGCTCGACTCAAAGTCGACTCGAGTACGACTCAGGTTCGACTCCAGTTCGACTCAGGTTCGACTCAGGTTCGAGTCAAGTTCGAGTCAACATCGACTCAAGTTCGATTCAAGTTCGACTCAGGTTCGACTAAGGTTCGACTCAAGTTCGACCCAAGTTCGAGTCGAGCACGACTCGAGTTCGACTCAAGTTTGACTCAGGTTCGACTCAAGTTCGATTCAGACTCGACTCAAGTTCGGCTCAAGTTCGATTCAGGTTCGACTCCAGCTCGACTCAGGTTCGACTCCAGTTCGACTCGGGTTCGACTCCAGTTCGACTCAAGTTCGACTCGGGTTCGACTCAGGTTCGACTCAAGTTCGGCTCAAATTCGACTCAAGTTCGAGTCAGGTTCTATTCAAGTTCGACTCAGGTTCGACTCGAGTACGACTCAGCTTCGACTCAGATGCGACGCGAGTACGCTCGAGTTCGACTCAAGTTCGACTCAAGGTCGACCCCAGTTCGACTCGGGTTCGAGTCAAGTTCGACTCAAATTCGAGTCAAGTTCGACTCAAGTTCGACTCAAGTTCGACTCGAGTACGACTCAGGTTCGACTCCAGTTCGACTCAAATTCGACTCAGGTTCGAGTCAAGTTCGGTTCAGGTTCGACTCGAATTCGACCCCGGTTCGACTCAAGTTCGACTCAAGTTCGACTCAGGTTCGATTTAGGCTCGACTCAAAGTCGACTCCGGTTCGACTCCAGCTCGACTCAAGTTTGACTCAAGTTCGACTCGAGTACGACTCGAGTTCGACTCCAGTTCGACTCATGTTCGACTCAAGTTCGTTCCGAGTTCGACTCCAGTTCGACTCGAGTACGACTCGAGTTCGACTCCAGTTCGACTCAGGTTCGACTCAGGTTCGAGTCAAGTTCGAGTCAAGTTCGACTAAGGTTCGACGCAGGTTCGACGCAGGGTCAACCCATGTCGAAGAACCTTCGACGCAGCTTCGATGCACGAGTGGAGCGAGTGTTTCCAGGAAGGTCCCCAGGATGAGCATCCATCGGGGGCAACGATAGGGGGGATAGGCATAGAAGGGGATGCATCGACCCCCGATCGCCCATTGATCGCCGGAAGGACCCGATAGCCCCAACCTGCTCAGGAAGGTGCGGATTCACTATCGGAGGCTTATCGCCGATCTATCGGCGATGTATCGTCGTCGTCGTCGTCGTCGACGTCGTCCTTCTTCCCGTTCTCCTCCTCCTCCTCGTCCCCAGGTGCGGGAGTGGCGGCAGGAGCTCCAGGAGGGCACCTCTCCCCGGGTGCGCGTGCTGCTGCGCTACCGGTGGACCTGCGCGTTCGCGGACGCCCTCGGGGCGCCGGTGCTGCTGCAGCGCGAGGGCGTGGCCGACCCCGGGGGCCTGGCGCGGGAGCTGGGCTGGGAGGTGCTCGGGGACTCGGGGGTGGCCAAGGCGGGGGCCATGATGTCTCTCCAGATTTCACGGCGCCTCTTCTCATCTCAATACGTCCCTAGCCCTCCCCCTGGGCCGCGCACATGCCTCGGGCCATGATTTGCACCCCCCCCTCTTGGACGCCCCCCTCTTGGCCGACCCAGAGGTGCTGCTGGTGCACTTCTGTGCCGAGCTGGAGGACGCGCTGGAGCTGGCGAGGGAGCGGATGCTGCAGTCGAAGGAGAAAACACGCCATAAACATAAACTCATTTGGCGCTCCGCGCGGGTTTCTGGGATCCACGCTGGGGCCCCCCCCGGCGGCGCCTCTGGCGCCGCCCCTGGCGCGCTCTGGGTTCTAGCCCAGCTCCCAGCAATCCGCGCGGAGCGCCAAAAGTTTCTGTTTGTACCGTTTTTTCTTCCTCTATGCAGACGGGGGTCCTGTGTACCTCCTTCGTCGAGATTCACGACCTGGGGAACTACGGGTTCGTGCCGAGCTGGACGAGCCGGGCCATGGCCTCGATCCCCTGCCCAGGGCCCCGGGAGCCGGGACTCTGCAGGCCAGGACTCCCTCAGATCCAGCAACGGAGAGTTCTTGGCCTCCTAGGTGGGGGTCGGAGCAGATGGGTTGGCTAAATGGGGTCGGAGGATCGCGCCGCACCGCCGATGCATCGGCGACGCGGCTCGATGTGGAGCCCGAGTTGATCCACGCCGACGTCGCCAGTGCATCACCGACGTTGCCGCCGTATCGCCGACAGGAGGGAGGAGAAGGAGGAGGAGGAGGAGGAGGAGGAGGAGGAGGAGGAGGGAGGAGGAGGAGGAGGAGGAGGAGGAGGAGGAGGAGGAGGAGGAGGAGGAGGAGATCGTGCCTCGCCGACGCATCGCCGACGCATCGCCGATGCACCGGCGAGGCGGCGCGATCTTCCGACCACACCTGCTGCGACCCCAGCCCGAAGGTCTCGAAGAGTGGAGGAGGTCTCGGCCCACGGCTGCAGTCGATTCACTGGTGGCGCCAGCAGCGCGGTGATGTTCCAACCTGCTGCAGCCTCGAGCACCAGAAAGAATTTCGAGCACCAGAGAAGTTCCGAACATCGAGGGCTTTCACGTGCCTGGCCCTGGCAGACACTCGTCCGACACGGTTTCGATAATGTTTCGACACTTTCCCGGATGCTCGAATTTTTTTCTGGGATGTGGTCCGCAAGTACGAAGGGAGCAGCATAACAGTAGCGTTCGAATAACTCAGGGACGACGGCACAATCATGAGTTCTCTGAGGTCCGCGCGCATGTTTTGGATCGGCGGAGCTCCGGACGTTTCCGTTTACACGGTTCTGTCATGCTAGATATCATGGTCCAGCAGAGTCCCCGTCTGCGGTGCCCTGACCTTCTTCCAGAAGATCGCTCCAATTCTTGACAAGGTCGGAGGCCTAGAGATTGCCACCAACAGCAGCATCGGCTGCTCCTTCCGCCGAGGGAACTTGATCCCGATCTCGGTAGTGGGGTTAACATTCGGGCTGCCTGGGCTGGCGAAGGATTTCCACCAACACCAAAATCCAGGATCATCTTCCCCTGGTGGAGACACCCCCCTGTGTAGGTTTAAGTCGGGCCTGTCCCTCTGCAGGGGAATATTCATATTCAAGAATAGTCAAACATAGTACGGGGACGTTTTTTTGTTGTTGCATATTTTTGATGTTTCTTCCAAAATCCGCCTGTAGGGGAACACGCCCGACTTGAATGTTGGTGTTGGTGCGCATGTTCGAGCCTCGAGCAAGGTGTACCCCGAGCGCGTGAAGCTCGGCTTCATAGTACGGGCTCCGCGCGCCTTCGGCCTGGCCTGGCGGCTGATGCGGCCCCTCGTGCCGCCCGCGACGGTGAAGAAACTCCGGATCTACGATGGACATCGGGCTGGGGGAAGGGGGTGATGTTGTACGCGGCTTGGACGAGGGTAGATCCGTTCCAGGGCCTTCCGGAACGCTCTTGGAGGACCTGTTTCGGAGCGGATTTAGTGACCCTCGTTTCCCCCAGGCTGCCTCGAAATGTTCAGACCTCCTCGCATTGTGGCCGCAGGGCTGGACCTAAACGCTGATTTGCTGGGTTTCGACTGTGTTTTGTTCTTTGTTTTGGCAGGGAGGTACAGGAAAACAGGTAGAGCAACACCAACAACAAAACGAAAACAAGACGAAGAACAACGTTCAGGTCCAGCCCTGTGTGGCAGCTCTCGGCCTCGAGGGGGCCCCCGACCAGGCCCCGGTCGGCTCGGTCCGCTTCGATTCCGATGCTCCGGTGGTACGAGACGGCCACTCCGTGCTGAGTCGGCCAGATCCGACGCACCTTCCGACTCTAGCTTTATGTCGGGCGTGTCCCCCTACAGGGGGATTTTCGACGAAGCATTAAAACATACCCCAAAAATGCACCACAAAGGTCAGAAAATACTCCAAACATAGTCCCCAGACTGTGTTTGGACTATTTTTTTATTATCTTTAGGGTATTCTTGATTTTTCGTAGGGGTACAGGCCCGACAGAACTCGAGCTGATTTCCCGATTCGATGTTGCCGGGTCCTGCCCAGGGCTGCCGGCGCGGTCCTACCGGGAGGAGCTGGTCGAGGCGGTCGGCCTGTCCGCGGTCCCGCCCTTCCTTCTGTCGGACGACGCGGACGTCATCAAGGATCAGTCGGGCCGAAGGAAATCTAGGCCTCTTAGATGGGGTCCGAGTAGATGGGGTCGAAGGATCGCGCCGCATCGTTGATGCATCGCCGATGCGGCTCGATGTGGGGCCTAATTTGTTTCACGTTGACGTCGCCGATGCATCGCCGACGTCGACGATGCGTCGCCAGTGCATCCCTGATGCATCGCCGATGCATCGCCGATGCATCGCCGATTCGACGCGATCCTCCGACCCCATCTACTCCGACCCCGTCTAGGAGGCCTCTAGGAAAGGGGGGGCATATCATAGAGAAATGGGGGGTGACGACATCTGCTGCGTGTAGCTGGTTTCGGCCCCGCCGCCGGGCCCCTTCCCCGGTGCATGGGCGCCTCCCGGCGCCAGGAGGCCGACTCTCCTCCCTGCCCTGTTCGGGGGTGGACAGAACTCCTAATAGTGACACGTCGATTAGTGAATTGTCCGTTTTCGGTTCTCGAGAGGGCGCCGTGACCGTCATTTTCCAGGCTTGCGCCCGTTCTCACGAAACCACGTTTTACTAAAGGGGGGTCTGTCCATCCCCGACCTGTGCTATCCTGCCTTTTCGCCCCCCCGCGCATCAGGGGCAGCGGCAGGGGAGGACTGGCCTGGGGGGGGGGGAGCATGGACCCCCAGTCGCCCCACCCATGGGGGCCCCTTGCGAACCCTGCCCCTGCCCCCCACGATTTCTGAGGGGGAGGGCGGGGTTCACTTCGCTCGGGAGCTTCTGAATTCAGTGAGCCCTCCCCTCCCCCTCCGAAATCGTGGGGGGTGGGGGCACAGTGCCGTTTTTAAGACACGCTCCGCGTGCGGATCAGGTATGAAAAATGCAGGGATCCGGCATCAAAAACCACGAGAACCTCGTGCATACATTTACCCATATATTAGTCGTGCATTACAATCCTATGTTTAAACCACATGAAATCTTATGTGTCAACAAAATGAGGCAAGTAAAATTGTAACTATTATTGTTGGATTTAATTCGTGAACGCGTACTCAAAAAAAAAAAAAAAAAAAAAAATCGTGAACGCGTACTCAAAACCTGCCCTGTAGGGTTCGCCAGTGGGCCCCCTACCACCGTCGCCCGCTGCAGGCCTGGGGCCCCCGACGTCCGCCCGGCGGAGCGTGCGGTTTCGCTGGCCATCGGGGGCCTGTCGCCGATGCATCTCAGGCGGGGAAGAGACACACAGACACAATGATTCGGGGGCGGAAAAGAGGGGGGTGATGACTAGGGGGGGGTGGATATCATGGCGCGGGCCATGATTTTTCCTCAGATTTCATGGCGCCTCTTCTCATTTCATTACGTCCCAGGCCCCCCCGCTGGGCTGCGCACATGCCGCCAGTCATGATTTGCACCCCCCCCTCTTGGACACCCCCCTCTTTGCCGCTCCCGAACACAGACACAATGATTCGTCGGCTCCCAGAAAACATGCGAAAATATGGGAAGTGGGGGGGAAGACAGGAACCCGGGAAACATTGGAGGGTATGGGGAATCTTTGTATTGGTGTGTCCCAGGGGATCTTTTTATTTGTGTGTCGTGCCTCGGTTTTTCCCCTCTCTGGACCTCCCGGGAGGCCCTCGTCGCCACCGCTGGACTCGCCTCGAAGTTCTGGTCAGAACGCACCCTGGGAAGGATCCGGGGAGTAGCGGCAAAGGCATTCCAAATCTCACAATAGCGGGGTACGGGTCAACAAAGTGTTTGACAGCGCTGGACCGCCCCCGCCCAGAGCGGTGCAACAACGGGCCCAGCATTGAGCATAGAGACCCGCCAAACAATCTTGTTTGACGAGGCTCCTTATTTTAGGGGAACGAAGAATCGACATAAACATAAAAACTCGGAGGGCCGCGCGGATTTCTCGGATCGGCGCTGGACCCCCTTCCCTGGCGCGCGGAGCGCGCCCGGGGCGGCGCCGGAGGCGCCGCCAGGGGGTCCAGCGCGGATCCGAGAAATTTGCGCGGCCCTCCTTACAATTTGTGTGTCATTGTTGGTTCCCCCCGCCATGACCTATCAGATCCGCACATCAAAGTAGACCCCCCACATCAAAGTAGACCCCCCACCATCAAAGTAGGCCCCCCACCATTTGTAGTTTTTTGACCACACATCAAAGTAGGCCCCCCACCACTACTTATCGGATCCAGGGTGCCTTTGGCTTGCCTGCCCTCGCCCTGTCGATCCGCCCCCCCTCGGAGGCGGCCCTGCCCCCGGGCGGCTGCGTGCCGGTGGGGGCCCTGGCCGAGGAGGTGGCCCGGGCAGAGGGCGAGCATCGGCGGCTCAACGGTGGGGTCCTGCCAGGCCTCCTGGATCGAGGCGTAATGGAGGATGACGATTAATAAATGGCCGGGGGTCGTGTTCACGCGGCGGCAACCGGGATAACGATTAGAAAAAACCGGCCGCGGGCTGGAACACTATTCTTTTAATCGTTCTCCTCCAGTCAGAAAATTGTGCAGACATAGCAGAAAACATTTGTTTGATCGTTCTCTCCCATTTTTTTAAATAAACCGTCATCCCGCATTAAGTCGGGCACGTCCCTCTACAGGAGGCGTATCCAATATATATATATATATATATATATAATAGTCCAAGAGTAGTCTTGGCACGAGGCTCCTGTTATGTTTGATCATCTGGGGGTATGTTTGACAAGTTGTTTATTTGTCGGCCAGAATCCGCCTGTAGGGGAACATGCCCGACTTTAACCTAGGCCTCCTAGATGGGGTCCGAGTAGATGGGGTTGGAGGATCGCGCCGCATCGCCGATGCATCGACGGTGCGGCTTGATGTGGAGCTTGACGTTCCCCACGCCGACGTCGCGGATGCGTCGCCGACGTCGGCGATGCATCACCGATGCATCGCCGATACATCGGCGATGCATTGACGAGGCGGCGCGATCCTTCGACCCCATCTACTCGGACCCCATCTAGGAGGCCTCTGCTGGAGTTGTGGGAAAAACGCGACGGGAGGTTGTCTTCGATGTTCGGCCTCTGGGGGCCGTTACCGGGCCTCGGGACCGCCTAAAAACGATTCGAGACGAAAAGCCGATCCCTGGCAATGGGTCGAGACCTCTGCGGTTGACGTCATGAACAAATCATGACGTCGCGGGTCTGGGCTGAGGGATGGGGTCCTAAGGATAGGAAGGGGTCCAAGGGTGGACTTACGTTGTTTGAGGCATCTTGTCCTTAGGACCCCATCCATCAGGACCCCATCTTTGAACCACCGAGAGCAGCGCCCCTGACCCTGAGACTGCACTGGCCAGCGGACGGCGCAGCAGAGGCCGGGATCCATGGGCTGCATGGGCGTACGCCCGGGTCTGGCGGCGCACGCAGGGGTCAGCCGATGAGCCGACCTCGGAATAATGAGCCGCGCCAGTCTGGAGTGCGGGTGGGAAATAGTCGTGTGAAGCTCGCGTCGGTGGAATCGGTCGCTTGGTCGATGGATTGCGACGCTTTGGACTTTGGGCGCGGTATCTATGTACATCTATATAAATATAACACATGTATCAGTATATATATATATATATACAGACATACAGACAATGCGCAAAGCAGAAGCCAGAGATTGTGACACGCCTGTGGCCCGTGGCCGTCGAATTTTGCTCATTCTCTCTCTCTCTCTCAGCGTCTGCCGCGGCTTGGGTTGCACAGTCGAAGCTGATGGCAAGGCTGCGCGACTGCCCACAGGGTGCCCTTGATGAGTCCTTGCCTCCGCGGCCCGCCCTGCGCCGTTGCCACGCGCCGGCCCTTCCGGGCCCCCAATGGGGCGGGCGACGCGCTTCGGGCTGCGCGGCGGAACGCTCGTCTCTGGGACCGCCCGAAGGACGCGGACAACCTCCTCCTCCTCCTCCTCCTCCTCCTCCTCCTCCTCCTCCTCCTCCTCCTCCTCCTCCTCCTCCTCCAGGGCAGCCCTGGCCTGCCTTCCGCGCGTCGCCCTCGTCCCGCTCCGCGGCCGCGGGCCCCGCTCAGGGGGCCCATTGGCCGTCCTCGGGCGCGGCGCATCCGCCTCTCCCGTCGCCGTGCCGTCTGCGGGCGGGCGTGGCCCCGGGGTCGCGGGCCAGGCAGTGCGCGTGGCGTCGCCGCCGCAGCAGGCGCCCCCCCGCGGCAGGCGCCCCGTCGCCCACGGG